GACTATAGGGCAGAAGTCAAAGAACATGTTACATAGATTTAGAGGGTGTGAAGTGGAAGCACTAAATTGACCAAAAGTACAATAGTGGGAAACATTGTGTAGTTCCTGTTTTGTTTCAGATTATGCCAGATATTGAGGATGATGAATAAATTTCAGTTGCTCTGAAGTAGCAAAAATCCTGGTTTAGAATTTATTTGGGTAAGGTTAAAAATGGGTAAAAGCACATTAAATAACTGAGGGAGAAAGTATATAGAGAAAAAGAGAGCTGGGCAAAATCTCTACAAATGCTTTATATTTAGGGGAAGAAGAGACAATCCAATAAAGAAGACAGTAGTATTATTGAAAGATAAGTAGTTAAGAGGATTAAGAGAATCCCATGACCCAAAATTTAAGGATGAAAATTGGTTTTACTAAGTCAGGCAATCAGGAATGTCAGACTTATATAGAGTTTTAGAGTGACAAGGGTGACAATTAGTGGGATCTAGTAATTAGGAAAACTTGAGTGACTTTACAAATCAAATGAAAGAAAGACTTAGAACATGGCACCAATACTAAAGATGCTAGAAGTGGGAAGGGAGTAGACACAGCAGGTGTGTTAAGATTTTTCTAACATAGGATCTTGGGAGAGACCAGAGACCATGCTGAGAAATAAGGAAAGAGAACTGTGGAAATTGTCATTTAGGAGTGATACTTCAAGAGTTTAAGATCTAGGAGGTGGTTGAATTTTGTCTCAACAAATCCAACATGAGACCAGAATGGAATTAAGGAGGAATGAAGGTCCAAGTGGTAATTTAAAAAAATAATAATAATAACAGTCTGTTGGTTTGTTGGAAAAGTCATGATGCATTTTTGTATAGAAAAAATACATCATGACTTTTCTGACAACTAATATATCTGTATCAGTACTAGAGGATGATGAAGAAAGGCAAAGGAAACTGGGAAGCTTACTTGGAGGTTTAAATAAAGACTCAAGACAGCTTCCTGTTCTGATCGAAGGTCTTTGGAATTAGTCCCCTGGATTTTTCATCTTCTGCTTTAAATATGTAATAAATTGATTCATTCAAGAAGTATCTACAGTACCAGACACTGCTTTAGGTGTTTAAGATGTATTACTGAGCCCTATGTATGATAGCACCAATTTGTAATGTAGAAATACTAACTAGCTTGTTTTTTTTCATTGTGGTTCAAAAACTATCTTGTACTACTTCAGTTATGTTCAAAATATGTGTTCCTTGAGGTTTGAGATTATGTGTGCTAGTTACTAAGCATAGCACCTGATGTTTAATAGATGAGTTCACCAAATCTTAAAATACTGAACATGTTAAATAAAGAACACAATCATTCTGGAAGATTTTTAAATGGAATTATTATCTGTGTTTTTAAGATGGTGGAAAAACAATACTAAAATTACATATAGGATTATAAAGCCAATTAATGAGAAACATTTTTTAATATCACTGAATTTCAGATTAAAACCATAAATGTGTTAGTAAATTGTTTCCCTTCTATATTACCACTTTTTCTGAATATAACAGGAAGTCTCTAATGTGGGTATACTTGCTAACGCATACTATCACTATAGTCATTATAATGTGGTCCTAGTATTCTTTGCTAAATACAAAAGTGAATCTTTTCTCACCCACAAGGAATTGATCCTATAGGTTCAGTTGTCACTTTTGGATGATTTCTGTGCTTTATCCAGATTCTCAGAAGAAAGAAACAGTTTAAGTAAAGTACCTTGTTTCCTACTCCTATCTCTGCAAAATTGCCAGTCATAGATGTGTACTGGTCTATACATTTGTTTTTATTTAAATCTATGGTCAATAAAGTTCATTTTTTGTTTTAATTCTGTACTCTCATTTGCTTCTAGATGTCACTCTTTTTAGAGTGAATGATTTCTTTTTGTTATCAAATTTGTATGACTGGCTCTTGTTGCTGCAAGAGTGATGTCATTTAGTGATTGCTCATGTTGTTTGTTCATGAGACTCGAATACTTAGCTCATTTGAGTCCTCATAATAATGACATTAGTATGAAAAAGAATGCTTACTACCAGTTCATTAGTTGGTATAGAGGTATTTCTGTTAGTTTCCAACTTTTGGTACTTTCAGTTGTTTTGAGTTTTCATGTTTTATATAGCCTTGGTAGTTTTGAATTTACCCAGCAAATTTCTTTATATAAAATCATGGCCACAAGGGCCAGCAGGTGGTGTGGTGGTTAAGACGCTGGACTCCCACATGGCCAACCACCATTTGAGTCCTGGACCTGGCAGCTTAAAAGTCATGCCAGGTGCATGTGCATGCATGCCCAAAATACCAGGAGGAGGATGAAGGAGAAGGGTTTGTTGGGTAGCTATCTCCCATGGCAGGTGATTTCTCACTTTCCCTCTCTTGGGCAAGCATATGCACCCTATGATGAAAACCTACAAAAAGTAAAAAAAAAAGTCCACAGATATAACTAACAAATATTTAAAATTATTGTTTTAGCACCAGCAGGTGGCATGAACAACTAAGTTCAAGTCCCAAGTTCGATGGCTTAAAAATCATGCTGGGTGCATGTACATGCATGCCCAGAGTCCCAAGAGGAGAGTGAAGGAGAATGGATTGCAGTGTAACCATTCCCCTTGAGGGAATGGTTTCTCACTTTCTTCCCTCTCTCTATCTCTCTGGCAAGTGCACACGTCCTATGACAGAAACTTTTTAAAAATTATTATTTTATAAAACATAAACTGCAAATGACTCTAAAGTCCCAGTACTTAAAGGATCAGTACAACTTGCTTATCAGGAGAATTGATAAAGAAGGAAATATAGTTGATCATAGACTGTTTATAAATAAAACATTTAATTAAATACATTTGAATCAGGAAGCTGAATTGTTTGATGAGAACCAGAGACCTTATATCTAATCATAAAGAAAATAAATACTGGTTTTTAACATTATGAGATCATTTTTTGGAGAAACTACCTGTGTTTCAGAGAATTTGCCCCCCCCCCCCCAAAAAAAATACACACACTATTTGATGGCGGACCACTACTCCTGCAGGTAGTGACATTTGAATAACCTTTTTCAATAGCATGCCCTGTTGTATTTAGACTCAACTTCAGCTCTAATGCAATCTAGAACTCTGGTAACACCAAAGTACTAATTCACCAGTTTTCTGCTTGGGTTTTGATGAAGAAAAACAAAGATGGGCTGACGTAAAAACAGACACTCAAGTTTGTGCCCTTTCCGTTTCTTTGGGGGCCTTTAATATAAAGGCAATTTGAGGATCTTCCTTGTGAGGTCCAGTTACTGCTTTGTGGTAGGGAAGCATTACCCTGAATCAGAAATTTTTCCTCATAGGCTAATATGAGACAGACTTGATGCAATTTACTTAAACCTTATTTACTTAAAGTAATTTAAATTTTTCTGTTTTAATATAGAATTTAGCATTATTTTGGTAAAGAATATAGAGTTTATATCAATTTCCGAATAACTAAATGATAAAAAGTATACTTATTTTTTTACTCATGTTTTAATTTACTTCAAATGTATTGCATTAAAGCTAATTGAATTGCAGTGCAGTCAGGGCTGATAGAAACCGGAGATAATAAGGAAGCTTTATTCTTATTCTAACAGAGAGTGCAATAAATTCACACACAGTATATTCTTCTTAAAAAATTATTTATTTAGTTTTATTTATTATTATTACCATTTTTTAAAATTTGCTATAGGGCACATGTGCTCACCAGAGAGAGAGACAGAGAGAGAAGGAGTCAAAAAACAAGCCACCAGGTCCAGGACTTAAACCACAGTAGGCCACGTGGGAGTCTAGCACCTTAACCACCCACACCACCTGCTGGCCCCCACACTCAGTAAATCTTTTCTTTCTAGATTTTTGCAGTAGGGTCCTGTTCACCAGAGGGAAAGAGAAACAGATAGTGAGAAGGAATGTGAGAAATCACCCTCCGGAGAGGGGGTGGCCACACAATCCCTTCTCCATTCTTCTCTGGAGATTTTGTGCATGCCCATACACATGCCTGGCATGATTTTCAAGCCACTGGGTCTAGTATTCAAACTGTGGTTGGCCATGTGGGAGTTCAACACCTTAACCACAATGCCACCTGCCATCCCCCACAGTAAATTCTTAAAATGGCCTGGAGTGTGGCATTGATAGTCTGTTTTCATAGTAGCAAGCCAGGGAATTTTAATTATTCCCTGAAAATAAAGGGAAGATTTCCAAGTATTAAAAAAATTTCCTGCCAGATCCTTAAAACATATTACAAGTAACTCATATTTTTTCAACCTAGAGTTATCACATTTAGTATTAGATTCTTTTTATTTAAAAAGTGAAGATTGAAAAGTCTCACTCAATTTGAATTATTTATTAACTTACTATTGGAAAGGTAAAAAAATTATTTTTATATTGATAATCACTTGTGAATATATTTAGAAATAAAAGTAAATTTATTTATTAAATCATTGTTTTCTTGTATCCTTTTTTATTGGGCTAGAATATAATCCTTTTTCATATCAAGATACTCTTCACACCTAAGAGTGATTAAAAAGAGAATGTAACTTTAATTCTGGAACATGGAAAGAATGTTTGATAAATTGAGTAAGGAGTTGGTGACAGATTTTCAACCTTAGATTAATAGGATGTTTTTATTTTCCTTCTCATCAGTGAAAAGTTTTGATAATATATTACTGCACATGTATTAACAGAAAATTAGTCTCACTTCCTCAGGTCAAGCAAGATCAGTTAAAATTATTTACTTAATAATTCTCGATTTTCAAATTGAAAGTTAATTAAGGTTACACCATTCACTTTGACTGCTTTCAGAATACTTTTAGTTTTCTAGAAACATTTTATTATATAGGACTCGAAGAGTAACAATGTAGAAGAATAAATGTAAAATGAAAGTTTAATGAAAATTCTCATAAATTACCTATGAACGCTGAAATCAGATGAATCGCCTCTGTTTTTATAGTACAACGTTAAGTGTGTTTTTTTCCCTCCCAGGACATTTATTCAGAGCAGCTGGGGATCAACCGTTTAACCTGTCCACAGTGTCGAGTGCCTTCCCAATGGTCAGCCACCCAGTCTTTGGTCTACATTCAGCCAGCTCAGGGCATTCAGAATTTGGTGGTTTGGGGACACTTGGTACACCCACAGCCTTAGCCGCACATCCCCAACTAGCATCTTTTCCAGGTAAACATCTGTTACAAACAGTGTTCAAGGAAAGGAGACAAGCTTGAAAATGTTCAAGCAGTAATTTGTTTATTAAATTGAACAACAACAAAATAGTCTGATGCCTGGTATTTAAAACTTGTGCAAGAATTGGCTCAGTCCTGTTTTTCATGAACAAAAAAATAAAACACTATGTGTGTTAAATGACAGCGCAATTATGTGGGTATTTAGGTGTTTAACAGGAGAGGTAGGCATCTGTCACAGAAGGGAATAATTAAGTCAAATTTTTCTCATACTTTTATTGAAGTCTAATTTACAGAAAAGTATATCTGTTTTAAGTGTAGAATTTTTCTGCTTTGTTTGATTCTTAAAAAATTATTTAAGATGCAGTGTGAAACTAAACACTTTTGGGTTATCACTTCACTTTATAAGAAAGATGAGCTTGACTCTTAAATTTCTGTTTGTCCATATTTGATCAAAACATTGATAGAGTTGTAGCACTTATGTGGCAAGAAGACCAGTGTTATCTGAAATTCTTCAGATTAGGAGGATTCAGTAGTTCAGCAAGACCCCAGTTAAAGCTTAACTTAGGCAAACATGCTTTAATTTGCCTTATTATATTATCTTGAAAATGTCAACCTTAGTGTTTTTGCTAGTGATTGATTTTACTGTAAGAGTTTTAGTCTGAGATGTATGTTTTAGTGTTTGTACAATAGTTTAAAACATTAAAACATAATTCTAGAGATAAATAGACCTGTATTTAGTTCTGGTTTTGCCACTTCATAGCTGTGTGACATTGGAGAAGTTATCTGACTTTGTAGCCTCAGTTTTCTCATCTGAAAAATGAGGATAATAATAGTATTGCCTCCTGGGTTTCTTGTGAAGATTAAAGGAGCTAAGCCATGTTTAATGCTTATGGCACTATCGTAATTGTTTTCTCTTGCTCACTTTAATGGTTAATAAGTTGTCAAATGCATCTTTAAAAGGAAATAAGTGTCTTGTTTAACTATATGTAAAAATGATACATGGTTAAATACATATTCCAAGTAGTTTCTTGAGTCATCTTGTTCCTTTAATTCAGTTGTCTGGAGAGAGGGAATAGCAGAGAGGCGTAGTGTGACCAGACTGTCTTAAAAGTCTTAAGCGTTTCCTTTAAAAATGTTAAAGGAATTTACTGCATTCAGTTCTAGCATCGTTGCTTAGCAAGATAAGTATTCAAAATATGTTCTGAATAAGCTTGATAAATTAAATAAAAATAGATAATATTTCACTGATATCTTATATGTTTTATTATTTTATCATGGTTTATTACAGTACTGCTTTTAAGTATTTCTATGCCAAAATTTTCTATTATTAAGAATAAATACCTTTTGCAATGATGGTTAACAAGTATAAAAAATTACTCATCTGGACTTCAATAATGTTGATACTTCCACTGTATTAAAAAAATTAATAACTTCCCCAGCCTACATAAATTTATCACTCACTCATTTACTGAACAAAATTCTTTGAGCATCTACTCTATTCTGGGGACTAGGCCTGTTACTAACAAACACACTGTACAGTTATATTTTATGTTGCTTGTAGGTTTGGAGACACTGGTAAACAATTATAAAACAGAGTCATCAGTGGTAAAACTCTACCTATATGAGCATAATTTTTAGCCAAATTAACAGAAACTATGCCTGGTTTTAAAGAACTCATTTTGTTTAATTTGTAAATTTGGTATAATAACTCAAATATACACTCATTATAATAGGCTTTATTCAGAAAAGTAAGCAAATTATCAATTTTTAAAAATCATCTAATACATAAATGAGGAAACACAGGAAGATACTATTAGGAGTTTAAAATGGGGAATAATTTGTTCTAAAGTTCCTGCACTTCAGAATAAGCAATGCGAAATTACTTAATGGGTATTAGTGTAATTAAATTGTTTACATTTTATAGTGAAACAATACTTTATGGTAATGTCTTTTAAAATAGTTATAATTTTTGGTTATTTTAGTATTATGAATTTTTATAGAGTATCTAGTTCTATCAAGTATAAAAGATCCTACTTAATTTTCTAGGTTCAAATTTAGATTTAATAAATCCTCCAAGATATTAGAATCTTTCAGTTGAGCATGACTAATGTTGCTATTCTTTTTGAATACACTTAGAAATTAACTATATACTGACTCATGTAACCCTTATTTTGTATTTTTCATCTTACCAACAAGCTACCTCATGAATGACTAAATTTTGGTTCATTTTCCTAAATCTGGAAGCTAAGTAAATTGTTCACTTTTCAAAAATTATGTTATTTTCTAAGAATATATTAAACATAATAAAATTTATATTCAAAGCTCTATCATCTTCATCTTTTTATTTAATTAATCTTAGTTATTTGTTTTATATTTTCTTCTGTGGTTTCAGCTTATTATAAAACATTTCTCATTGTTTCCTCTAATCTCTACATAAGCTTATTTACCATTGACATGCTGATGTACATTTTCCTATTTTGTTTTTAGTGTGATTATTTAAAAAATACTCTTACATCATTTTAATACCATACCGATTTGTTGGTTGTTTACAAAGTGTATGCATTCAATTTTAATACTTTCACTAAAGACTCTCTGTTAAGTAATATATTTGGGTAACCTCTGTCCCTTTTTTTATTAACTAGGTGGAACCTAGTTTTCAAACCTCTAAATAACCATAGATTGCATCCGTGCTAATAGAAGCCCAGATACATAGTTTTTCTTCCTATCTAAATGCACTTCTCCTATTTAAACAGTAGATAAATGATTAATGCTTTTGTATAGTTATTCTTGGTTCAGTTCTCAGTTTTCAGGCACAGCTAAATATACATTGGTGTCATTTTGCTATTAACATCTTTGAGCAGTACAGAAGATTTGCTTTTGTAGTTTTCTGCTTATACTGTTTTCAGAACTTTGAAAAAGGAAATAGCCGTGAACATTTTACTTTATTTTAGCCAGATTTTGCCATTTGGTATTAAAGGTACATTATCACTTAACATTTACTCACACACTCTCTCTCTCTCTCTCTCTCTCTCTCTCTCTCTCTCTCACACACACACACACACACACACA